TACAAGAAGAGAGATGGATGTCAAAGAAACCACCATCAGCGAGATCTACTTTTGTTGTTTCATCAAGAAATGTAGCACACAAACACATCTCTCATCAGTAAAAACAGGCACTTGTCTCAGCACCTACCAGTAGAGATGAGCCAGCAAAGGCACCGGCATAAATTAGAGTTTTTGCAGCATTCTTAGCTTTCTTGGATAAGTCAAACTGATCAGTAGTACATTCAAAACTGTGGAGGATTCCTTCATTGTTTGCTTCCTCAGCAAATCATAGTGTCAAGACAAAGCCAAACAGCAATGGTCGTAGCATTGTCTTCTCGTTTTCTTGTTCTGTTCAATGCTGGCCACAAGAAGAGATGGGTGGGACAGAGTCTGTCATATGATGACTCGGATCCACGCAACTGGGAATGGATTCTTTTGCTTAGAAGATATCCTTGTGGCCATCTCCTTTCCATGTATAGATCATAAAGTGCCCTTCTTAGTTAATGGAGCTCATAGCTGTAGAGCTGTGGAGATGGAGGTGTACAAATCAACCTGCTGCCTGTGGCAGGAAGCCAGCCAAGCTTGTCATTATTCATGATTCTGGGAGATATTGGCAAAAGCCTCCTCGTATTCCATGATTTATTCCTGATGAGACTGAGTTTATTTCCTGTCCAAAAAGTTTCTGGACCAGGAAACCTTCCATTAATAACTTCTGTGAGAGAGAATTCGCTCTGTGAAGAAGGTAGAATCATGCATTCTGCTTATCATCTTCTTATCTGTCTTCCTCCTCCGTTTGGTAGCATGGAATTATCAAGAATGTTCAGTTGCACTGTAGAGAGAGAGGTGACAATGAAAGACCACCTGAGAATCTACACAAATATATTTCATAAGATATCATCCAAAAATCTTAAGATAAAGTGCTTATTCTTATGGAAGAATCCATGATCAAATTCTTCTGTTGTGGGGATAAGGCTTCCACCGTGTGGCACAAGACGGCAATCTCATCCAGTTCTGACTCCACTGTCCCCTAAATGCCCTCTGTCCCCATCAGTCTCCCTCCTACTCAGGTTGGAGGAAACAGAGCACTCAAAAGAAAAGCTCATTTGAGCAGAGGAGAGTTGTTGTTCATGGTATTCCTACTAATTTATTGGCCAAAAGGATGTGATATTTGTAGCTCTGTTTTCAGATCAACTCCATGAAAGTAATCCACCATCCACAGTGTTGGGGTTGCTCAGTCCAATCTAGGATAGAACAAATGAGATTTATGAGAGTATTCAATTCAGTATAATGATCCAAGTGGTGTGGGTGTGTTCTTGTTGTGCTACAAGCATCCTTATCAATTTCTATGGAACAATTCATCAACACTTTCATGGCCTACTTGATCAAATCTGTGTATTTGACACCCTTCCTTTAGAACATGAATAGTGGCATCCAACACAACTCTTTCCATCTGTGAGATGTGAAAGATAGCACAAAGTTCTTGTCAATCCATTTATATTAACAGTTCTTTTCAATCCTTATCACACGTAAATTTGAATAATCTGAATGTTTCGATTAATTATCAAATAAGAGATTATTAGGATTTTTTTAGAAAATAAATATATAAAAAAAACATTATATATATATATATTTATTTATGTATATTCTACATGGCAAGAAATGCAATAAATAGAAGGCAGCGAGAGAGGGAGAGGGAGAGAGAGAGAGTTGTCGCAGAGGTTGAAGCCAGAAACGGTAGAATTGGTGGCTGCAGAAGCCAAACGGGGAAGCCCGCGAGGTCGCGTGAATTGGAATGGATGGTGGGTTTCTCATCCTCCTCCTCCTCTTCCTGCCCATGAATCTGCCGCCGTCCACGAAGCGATCCGGAGTCGCCCTCCTCCTCTCCTCCAAATCCCTCACCCTCTACCGATCCCGCCCCAATTAGTCCTCAAGATCGCTCCTTGCCAGCGGTTTCTGCGGTGGTGAGGGGGAGCGTTGGAGTTGCGGGTTTAGGGTTAGGGGTTTTTTCGATGGGAGCTGGGATGTCGAGCGACTCGGGGCCGGAGGGGGTGAGCGGCGGCCTGACGGGGCTTGGCACCCTACCGGAGGGCTGCGTGGCGGAGATCATGCTGCGGCTCGAGCCGGCGGAGATCTGCCGGCTCGCGCGGCTCTGCCGCACGTTTTGTGGAGCGGCGTCGGCCGACCTCGTGTGGGAGACGAAGCTGCCGAGAAATTACAGGTATCTGTTGGGGAAGGCGTCGGGGGAGGACAACTCCGAGGGCCGCAGGCTTAGCAAGAAAGAGATCTTCGCGCTGCTCTGTCGCCGTAATGCCTTCGGTGGGGCAAACATGGTACGGGCGTATCGTTTTCCTTTTCCTTTTCATCGTTTGGCTCTTGTATCATCCTCGAATTGTTGTTCGGATAAGAACATCATGCGAATTTCTCTAGTTCTATACATAAAGGGGGGAATCTTTTTGCATGATTCGGCGACAAAATCTGATGACTGGACCATAGATTCTGAGTTTTATCTTGTTGATGGATCGGAAATATGCAGGAATTTTGCCTGGAGAAGAAGAGGGGGTTGATTTGTATGTGGATATCTTCAAAGGCATTGTCGATAACAGGGATTGGTGATAGGAGATACTGGAACTTCATTCCAACAGCAGAATCTAGGTAGATGCCTCTCCTTCTTGTGTTTGCTTGACCACTGAGCACCTTAACTACTGGGATGTCTCCTCGGAGACATACTTCAGTGAGTGACTCACATGATTTTAGTTCAATTTGAAGCATAATCTGGCTGGTCTCATGGATTTGTTCTTATAAAGTTCAATACATTTGCAACCTTAATTTAGTTATGTATATTACAATCTCTCTTTTTTCATTAAGCATGGTTGTACTATTAATGAGATGTCCAGGAATTTCTTGATTATTATTAGGGAGAGAGATTGCAACACAAGGGATTAATTAGAAAAGAGTACTTGCTGGAAATAATTTAATTTAGGCCATTAATCAAGAAGCTTAACTCCTAAACATAAATCAGTGACTTTGAACATTGATTAAGTAGTATTTCAATTAAAGATACTAGTAAGAAATATTAATTACGGATGGATGAAGATTAATTTGGGAATGAGTCTTACATTTTTGTGTATTATGTTTCTTCATGTATTCTTTTAAGCTATGTTTGTATCGCAAAGGCGTATTCGTGTGTATTTGGGTTCATCTATTTAGATAACCGAAGATTGAACTGTATTGAATCTTGGTACTGAATTATTTGATTCTACTTGAATCAGCTGAATGTTATTATCAGCTTATACAACAACATATCAGAATCTATCGAGTATGTTGCTGTGGTAACAGTGGTTCCTTGTCTCTCTTATGCAGTCCGCAGTTTGACCATATGCTAAAGCTTTTCCGTTTCTGCACCCTCTCCTTAATTCTCATGTTCCCACTAATTTTTCTGCCATGTTGTACATTTATCCCATTGCAATTGTAGACCATGTTATTTAAGCCTTTCCTCTAGCACATATTTGGGTGTGGTGGTTTGACATTAGGAATTTGTTTGATTTGCTTGCCAATTAGGTTTCTTGATTTAGGAGAAGGATCATGTCTCATTTTATCTTGTTTCCTTTACCACCAATCTCATTTTTTGGTATTTGTTGACTAATAACCAAAGAATCAGAAATGGTTTGCCACATGAGACTAACATGACACATTCCCTGCTGCCACATTTTCCTCCTTTTATAAAGGAGTAGTCTGTCAACACAAAAAGAAATTGAAATAAAGGTGACATTTGTTGAAAGCATATGGAGGAAATCAAAAGCTTTGTTTCTCTGAGGAGATATTGTATCATGACAAAGCAGCAAGCCTTTGTCAAAACAGTTTCCTTTTGCTGAGATATGTTTTGTAGACTTCTCTAATGTATTTTCGTTGACAGCGTAGTCACTCAAGTTTATTTTTTAAAAGAAATTTTTATTACATCAAATAACATGCATGATGCTCATCCGTGGGCATAAATATGAGATTATTCACTTGTGCAACAATGTATTAACCTTCATTTCTGCAACAATGCATTAATCAGTCCAGATATCTCAACGATGACACTCAGTAGTATATTAGATTCGTATGTCGAGATATTTCTTTTCTCTGAATGGTCCTGTATGCATACTTGCCATTTTCCTTCCAAATGTATTGTCTCAAGATGAGGAGTAATGCATTGTTAAGATCCGTAATGCATCATTCATTATTTTTCTGTCATTTACTAGATGCTTGATTTGCCAATTAAAACACTTCATCATTATGTATAGAAGAAGGTAAATGACATGAAGCACTTTGTTCATGTAGGTTTCAGACGGTGGCATATCTTCATCAGATATGGTGGCTGGAGGTTCGTGGGGAAGTGGAATTCTGCTTCCCCGAGGGCACATACAGCTTATACTTCCGACTTCACTTAGGAAGGGCCACCAAACGGCTCGGCCGTCGGGTTTGTAGCCCTGAGCACATCCACGGATGGGATGTGAAGCCCGTGAGGTTTACGCTATCAACCTCGGATGGCCAACTCGCTCAATCCAAGTGCTACTTGGACGAACCCGGAAGTTGGATCCACTACCATGTGGGGGATTTTGTCTCGAGAAGCTCAGATGCACCCACCGGAGTTAAGTTCTCGATGACGCAGATCGACTGCACCCACACTAAAGGGGGTCTCTGCGTTGACTCAGTTTTGATATGGCCGCAGGGCTTCGTCGGTCTGCCGACTGCATCCTGCCCGCTCTTGTAGCTCTTGTAGCTTTGCCGTGGGAGGCGCATCATGTCGTCCCAGCAGATGGTGGTGGTGTCCTGTACATACATATCTACCGTCTTGATGTTGTAATGTGAAGGATGATGAGGCTTTTCCCCTTTTAATGTTTTATCCGTCTTCCAATTTTTTGGGTTAAAAGCGAACATTGAATGAAGAAAGAGATGCTTCTTGCAGCAATATCTAATCACCTTCAAAAAGCAATGTTCTAAATACATAGTAGAAGTTCAAGCTACAAAAGAATCATTACTGGCGGCATGAATTCTCGATGACAAAACTCAAAACTGTCAGCAATCAAACTATAGGTTCTAAATATACCAAATGCTACCGCAACTGTTTTAACTACTCAAATGGTATACTAACTATATGAAATTTTACAGTTCTCAAGCATCCCAACCATCCATCACCCATGCCATTAAAGTCACCATGGGACATTCCATGCTCAAAATCTTCAGCAATGAGGTCCACTTCTGCAAGAACCACGTTCTGGATCAACTCCACTCGAGTTAATACTGTCACTATCGAACTAGCAGCCATGCCAGTGTGCATATTGGAAAACTTGGTTCCGTTTCCGACAGACCCAGGGTTCATCCTGACTTGAATGCCGCATCCGATTACCTCTGCAGCTACCGAACCATTTGTACTGGGAGTTCTGCTGTGATCTTCTTTTGTTGTTATTTATCATTTCTCGAGTTGCATTTTGGTGCAAGTGTTGTTGGTTCACCTGGGTGAAATGCAGACTGTTCTGTGGAAGCAAGCAACCATATGATGGCTGGTGAAGCTGCCCCGAGATACTATCAACGCAGGCATTAACCTGAATTGATGAAGCTGAACCCTGAAATTGCATAGGTTGTTCTTGTTGGCCTAATTGTTCCTGTCGAACAATGATCTGAGTCAAGTTGGGAGTGCCACTCAGTAGGTCTGGTCTCGCGCTCGCTCGGTTGTCATGAAGGGACATGTCTGGACACCAACTTGTTCATATGATTGCCTAACCCTGGATGAACGCCCATGCCTTTTCAGCATGCTTTGATCAGATGGCAGACTGTGAACCGCAACTGATTGGTCCATCTCCTGCAATTTTTGCCTTTGGAGGTAGGCTGCAGCCTGAGTTGTATAGTTCTTTAAGCTCTCTGCAGCAGATGATAACCATAAAATTACAAAATGCTTTCAAACATGATCTACTTTCTGCAGTAGTCTCTAAATGCACAGATAAGTAGGGAGACTATTTCACTAGATCCAAGTGGAAACATGCAACAACCCAGCTAGAACCTACATCTTGGAGCTTTATAACAAAAAGAAAGAAAACGAGTTTATTGATCAATTTGTGGCATACATTATGTCCAGATTAGCCCCAAGAGTACGAGCCGAGCTGCAGAAAGCAATGGTTGATTCAGCACTGAAGACGTGGGGGGGGGGGGCGGGGGTGTGGGGGGTGTGGTTGTTGGGGGGAATGTGTGCACGAGGAACAAACTGTCTGAATCTCTAAACATCATAATAACCTTTTTTGCAAGGCAACGCCATGCCTTGGGATGAAAAGTAGAACAAAATACTATGTGAAACAGTAGTGCCAAAAATCTTTACTAAAATGGTGAAATATTTAACATAACCTCATAATAGTAGCAACTCAATTGACTTATTCATATAAGAATCACCTCATGAATTGAGCTTTTAATCAGTACCAATCTTTCTTGAGATATTCATTTTTAGTTCTTTGGTCTTACACGAGTATATCATCGATGGTAGGTACAAGGGACTCATTTTGCCACCGTGTTGTAGGGTTCATCAATGATCAACCTATAACCAAATTCTCATTTCAGCTACCCTCTGCAAAGCATACCACCACATTATCTGATGATGGTTTACTTTTTTTCTGAATTTTAAAATATATGATTAAGCATGTTCTCCAAGTATACCTTCGTTCACTTAAATTTTGAATTATAAAATAAATAAAGTATCGTTAACTCAAACTTGATCAGATAAACAAATTCAATATCTAGTACAGCATTTTCTAAAAGGCCGACCATAGAATATCTTGACAGATCATGAGCCTAATCAGCATGACCCCTAAGTTTATCCTGTCAGCATCCTGATGAAAGCATCTTTGTAGTTTCTGAAACAGTTCTTCAAAATTCTTAACAATTGTACAGACATCATTAACTTCTGAACTTCCTGATAAACTTTGGATTAGGATTATTGCTTTATCCCCTTAACTATGTTTAAGTTAAAGGTATATATACAGAACAGATGCTTGTCTTCTAATTGACTTCAGTAATCAAGCTAATAAACTATAATTATATATGTTGGGCATGTTTTATGTAAATCCACAAAATGGGATTTGGTCATAAGTAGGTGAAGTAAGGTCTGAACTGCTGAGTCAAATAAAAATAAATCTGGTTTTAAGCCACTCAAGTATGCACAAGCGGAAGGTATATCAATAAAGAGTTCTAAAATTGTTGTGGATTATCACAAGTCAGGTGAATACTGCAAGATATACCGAAAGAAACAAGACACTCGAACAAAATTAAGAAGCCTAAAATATAAGATGCTGCTTCTGTAGCAAGAGAAGCACTCTGTGCTACTAGTGGAACATTAAAAGCAAAGTTTCAACAATAGAATTGGAATTCTCACCATAGCATATGCGTCTATCAGACCTAAGTTTATAAAGAATTGTACCTATAGGTCCACTGTAATGCTCCTTGCTAAAATCAAACAAGTCTTTCATGCTATTTACCACCTCAGATATCTGTCAACACAAAACATTAATTAAAGACAATGTGGCAAAATACACAAACAGAGAGAATAGATGCTCTCAATTATATGATCAACCACTAAAATAATTTCTTAATTACCTGTATGAATCGTACATATTTCCTGGATAACCCTAATTCATTCATTGATTGTAGTTCCAAATTTCTTGTTAGCTGATGACCTGCTTTTGTAAACCTGCAAAGTAAAAAATGCCTCAGATCTGGAGGTCATAAATGTTAGTCATAGTAACTAACTGATACAGCACACCACAAACAAAATGGACAGTAAAGGTAATGCAAATTTTGGACTAAAACTAGCAAACTGTACTTGAAGTGTGATAAAATAAAAAATTATTATTAAATTGGGCTTAAATATTTTCAATCAGCTTTCCGACTCAATAAGTTAATTAGTCAGTTATTTCATTCGGTTGGATCATGATAAATGGTATCAAGGTCGATCTAGTATTGGACATGAAAAGAAGCTCAGGTAGAAAACGGATTATCCATGAGTGGAGTTAGAGGAACTGTCATGATATAGAACCACCATTGGTCTAGGCATCACATGAGATTTGATCTTGAGTTGTGTTGGTCCTTGACAAAGACATTAATCCTTTAAGTGGGAGATATTATAATTAATGATATCTTATCAAGTTCGATCATGACAATATCAATGAGAGCATTCATCAAGATCTCGCTTAATAAAAAAAGTCATAGACAAATAAATTTGCATCTTATGGGCCATGTCATGTTTCTATGCTAAAGAATGGAACACATTATTCATAGAAAATTTCTAACCCAGTTAAGATAATCCAACTTGTGTAGAGTCTAGTTCTAATGAATATGTCACTGCTGTAACTTCTAAAATTGTTCCAATTTGTAAGTTACAATCTAATTCAGAACAGCATGTCTGCAAGTAATGACATGTCATATAATAAAATTCAGTGTCAGGACACATCATTAACAAATTCAATCTACCAAGTTTAACGATCACAGATCAACTTATCAGATTCAAGATACAATAATAAGCTGAAAAACAGAATCAGAAACTCTAGTTGCTAAATATCATAATGTTAAAGGAGATTCTTGTTAAAGGAAACAATATTAACAAACCAAGGGTGACATGGACAATTATCAATCATGTAATTGTCAAACTACGGTTACCAAATAGGAGAAAAATGTATCAGGCATTATATTTGAAATATTCCAAGTAGTTTGTTTTTTACTAACTTCTTTGATCTCATTTTCTTGATCAGTTTATTTAGCTTAGAATATGGTCTTTTCAAATTTTTATATCAGTTTCGATGCATAATAAGGGCTTGTAACACCAATCTCATTTACTAATAAGAAAATATCATATATGGAGAAGCTACAGCATGTGAAGATTTAGCTTACCACAGGCTAATAGGTCCATGCACCAATTATTCAAAAACATAAGGTGATTTTTCTTCACATGAAATTCTAGTTTTTAACAGTCAACCAATCTGATGTCTAAGAATATCATGCCAATCACTGTGTCCGCATAGGTCAAAATGTTCTATGCCAAAAAAGTATTGGCACACATCAACGAACCCATGCTGAAGGTGCCAACATATGTTGGCTATGGCAATTTATAGCTTGTGCTGGATGGTACAGTGTGTCATGCCAAAAGGGCACTGGAAAATAAAATGACAATACATCTTAGCGGTGCAACAACAATATGTTCTAACTATAAATATACAATTAACATAAAATGCAACTATTTTCTTAGTAATTGCATATAACCATTACTAAGAAAAGGGAGGTAACAAATTTTAAGATTAATTACATGATAAAACCATGAAACAGGCCATGTTCGTAAGGTGATAAATAAGCTATCTAGGACTCTTTGGATCTTCCCTTGAAGCTTTCAGCATCTTAATTTTTAACTGAATCACAGACATTTTCATTTTAAAGGTACTTTATATCAAATAATGAGTTAGCTTACAAATTGCAGCAGGCTTGCAATTCTTGATGTGGGACTCTGGCAGATCCATTCTTGTTTACAGAAGTTTGATATTTCTGTGCAACTTTCAACAATTGGTCAACCTGGAAAAAAAATTATCATGGTAAGATGAAATGGATACACCCATGTAAAATGTTCAGTCCAACAAAACATTTTTCACAAGAGACAAAATTAAAATTCTTAATTAAGTTGATATGTCTAAAAAATTCAAAAAAAAACTTGAAACAAGTAAAAAATCATAGATAAGCCAATGTCTTAGAAATAACAGTTTATATTAAAATATAAAAATAATTCTAATGGGCACTGCCTTATGCATGCAAATAAACCACGTACTTGGGGTGCTAGCACTCTACGAGGAAGAAATTCTTCGTGACGTTGAACACAGAAGTCCCAGGATAGTATCTAAATCATCATACAAATGTTTTAAGAAAAATATTTTTGGGCATACAAAATATGTAAAGAAAAACCAAGAGAGACAAATTCAATTTGGAACCTTCAATTCTGGAGTAAATATAACTCGAAGTATCCCTTCACGAACAATACGTAAATGTTCATAAACACTTTCAAGGGCCACTTTGTCATACTCCATCACAATGAATCCTTTAGACAAATGGCACTCACGTGGCATGCCAAGAAACAAATTTTCATCAACAAGCCCACTTTCAAATTTAATTTGGAAAAATCGGGGAAGTATTCCAAAAGTAACCTCTGCCAACAAAAAAAGATGGAATTATATAAATCAACAAAGAATATCAATAAAAAATTTTAATCCAGAGAAAAATTAATGTTGACTAAACCAAAAGTGAAATATTTGCCAATGAAATAGATAGGAATATGCAGAGTAATGGTATGGATATAGTTATATGAATAGAAATAAATACAAAACCTAAACATTTTGCAACTAACTAAACTTGCATTTCCATGAGAAGTGAAAATTTTGAAAACCTAAAGTAACAATCCACATGGGATCAAGTTTTACATGTCCAAGATTTAATTGACACATGCTCAAGGGCTTCTTGCTCAATCTACCCAGTTCTCCATTTTGTATCAGTTAACAGGTCAACAATAACAAAGCCGTAAGTCCCAACTATTTAGGGCCCGCTACATGGATCTTTTGCAGCCATTGAGATCTGTAAAAAATCATATATTTAGTCAAGTTTAGAGTACTTAAATTTTTATTTATAGTTTCTATTAAAATCCTTTTAGGTCTTCCTCTGCCTCTCCTTATATCACTAACATTAATTATTTCACCTCTCCTGACTATCGTATTCAGAGGTCTCCTTAGCACATGTTCATACTATCTTAAATAATTTTCTCTTAACTTATCTTTTATCGAAGCGATACCTAGTTGTTCATGAATAAAAATATTTCTTTTCCTATTTTTCTCAATAACTTCACACATCCATCACAACATTCTCATCTCGACAACATAAACTTTTTGTATATATTTTGTTTAACTACCTAACACCCATATTTATAAAACATTGTTGGTCACACAACTGTCTTATAAAATTTTTCTTTTGATCTCAAAGGTATCCAATGATCACACAAGACTCTTGACGCACCTAGTCATTTTAACCATCTTGTTTTTAATCTATGAATAATATCTTCATCGATCTCTCCATCTTGTTGAATAATTGATTCAAGATATATAAAATTTTTACTTAAAAGTATTTTTTGTCCATCCAATTTAACTATATTCTCTTATCTATTTCTAGAATCACTAAAATTATATTTTATATATTCAGTCTTAGTCCTACTTAATATAAAACCTTTAGTTTCTGAGGCTTGCCTCCATAGATCAAGTTTATAATTAATTTCACTTATACTCTCATCAACTAAGACAATATCATCAACAAAAAATATACACCAGGGAGGTCTATCATGATTAATCTTCTAAGCATAAAATCAAATTGATTTTCAGAGATATTTATTTCAAACCTTATCTTACTTTCGATAACTCTTTCCTAAAGTTTCATAGTATGACTCACGATTTTAATTTTCTCTATAATTTGAATAATTTTATATGTCATCTTTATTTTTGTAAATTGACACCAAAAAACTCTCTCCATTTATCTGGTATCCTTTTGAATCTCATGATTTAATTAAATAAATAAATTAACTAAGCTACTCCCTTATCCCCTAAACTTTTTCCGACCTCGGTAGTGATACCATTAGGCCCCACATTTTTAGCTATTTTCATCTTTTTTAATGTGTTTTTTACTTCATTAGCTCTAATTTTATGAATAAATCTATGATTATTAAATCTACCACTATTATTTATCGTTAAATCTAAGTCTTATACGGAATATTTATTAAATAATTTATAAAAATATTTTTTTATTTTTTCTTAATCTCGTTATCATTAACAAGTATTTTTTGATCTTCGTCTTTAATGCATCTAATATTACTTAAATTCTTACACTTTTTTTTTCTATCTTTAGTAATTTAATATATATCTTTTTCACCATCTTTAATATCTAATTTATTATAAAAATCATCATAAACATTATATCTTGTTATACTAACCATTTTTTTAGCCTCCTTTCGATATTCTTTATATTTTTATTTTTTCTCATTTTTATAATTTTACTAATTTTTAAAACATGATCTTTTAGTAAAAATTATTTTTTGAACTTCCTCGCACCACTACCAACTCTCTCTTAAAGTTACACCTCTACCTTTAGTCACACCAAGAATCTCCTCTGATAAGTTCCTAATTTTACTAGTCATTATAGTCAAAATAATATTAATATTATCCTTATCTAAATTCCAAGTCATCTCCCTTTCCATCTTATTCTTAAAAGTGTTTACATTATCATCTTTAAAATTCCACCATCTAAACCTAGTAATATTTTCTACTATCTTTTTTTTTCTTTCATTTTCTATAATAAATATCTAATACCATCAACCTATGTTGATTCATCAAAATTTCACTAAGTATAACTTTACAATTCTTACAAATAATTTTCTCCACTATTCTAGTGAAAAAAAAGTCTATTTGACTATGACCACTCTTGTAAGTAATTAAATGTTTCTCTCTTCTTAAAGTGAGTATTTACAATTATAAGATCATACAAAGTTGTAAAATCCAAAATCATACCACCATCCTCATTTCTCTCCCTATAACCAAAGCCCACATTCATCCCTTTATATTCACTATATGTTTTCCCTATATGATTATTCAAATCTCCTCCAATTATAAATTTTTCAATTATAAGTATTCCTTGAATGATATTATTTAAGCTTTCCCAAAATTCTCTTTCGATTTGATCATCCAATCCGACTTGAGGGGCATAATCACTAATGACATTCAAAATATCTTGTCCCTTCATAAATTTTAGAACTATAATTATATCTTCAAATCTTTTTACATCTATAATATTGTTCTTAAGATCCTTATCAATAACAATTTCTACATCATTTCTGTGTTTAACTTTATAAGTATACCAATTTTTAAATCCAGTACTATCTATCTCTCTAGATTTTTCTCCTAGCTACTTAGTCTCTTGTAAACAAATAATATTTATTCTTCTTTTAATTATAGTGTTTATTATTTTAATCTCTTCCCTGGAAGTGTCCATATATTCCAAGTTGCTAACCCAACCTCTGTTTTTAGACTAACTTTTTTACTCCTATTGGTCCAAAACAATGAGAGAACCCTGCCTGCTTGGCACCAAGCACCAATGTGATGGACCACTTCCAGGCAACCTCCTAGCCTATCGCTTACAATTTGAAACACATAGGTGAACAAGGTTCATCGTGTCACTTTCAATTGACGACCTAACTCTATACTGAAATCGGTTAAAATCCATATTCATAAGATCTGACATAGTTTTATGCTAATTATCAATGACTTAACGCAATTCACCACCTTTTTCATCTAAGCGTGGGACCCGTATTGGCGGTGTTATATCAGTTAACAAGTCACAAACTAAAAAAAAAAGGGTCACGAACCTACACTTTAGGGCTTCTCTCATCTCACTTGGACCGTGCCTTGTGTTGCTTGCTAGCCCTCATGCCATCGTTAGATTGTTCAACCTCGTCATTCACTCCTCTCCTCCTCCACCCCCTCCTCCCTTCCTCATCCTCCTCATACCTTCATAGTGCAAACTCATATGTCGGTGTACCATGTGATGATATGTTGGCATGTACTGAATGCATACCGATCTATCTAGAACAAACGGTACAAGTCCAACATTCAAAATTTTGAACTATGCCATATATTTTGTTTTTTTTTTTTCTTTAAAGCTACTTTCACAAGAAAACACTACAAGAATGTCTAAGAAATGGAACTTTAAGATCAACGAAATCTAGAGCTTGTTGCCACAAACAAGACAAAAAGCATTCATCCTTACTTAGACATTCAAAGAAGCATAAACAACATAGAAAAAACCATGACAGGATTACAAAGATTCAAAAGGGATCATAAAACAGCCATGTCAATTACAATCTGGAAAGAGGAGAAATGAGACGAGCATATACAAGTCTCTACCTCCCCACCCTCACCCTCGTCTCAGCACTAACTACTAGAAAAGACATGTCCAACATTATCTTTTGCAACTTAGTTAATGCTGCATTTGAACAAGACATAAAATGCCATTAAATAAAATGGTGTAACATATTTGTACATCAATAGAACAAAAAAGCTGCCATGAAAAACCTTGTGACAGAAAAATATCAAATTACTGACAAGATGCGTGGATTCAGAGTTAAACTAATTGTTTTTCAAGGAGTCTAAGAATATGTTTAAAAATAACCACTAACCAAATCCTTTTCCAGAGTTCACAACACAAAGATCACAATTCCATGTGCCCTGCAACAAGAAAAAGAAGTGTACAAAAAAGTCATGCTCTATCACCAAAGAAGGAAATTTTTCATCATCTGGTCCTTATAAACATGATCTCATTATATCTTCTTGCCTTATTTTCTTTTTTTTTTATTATACATAAACATCAGAAGTAACAAAAGGTTTACAAAATTAAATGTAAGAAATCAATAAGAACAAGAAAGAAAATCAAATGAGAAAAAAAATATTCACAGGTTTACCATAATCATACTAGTTTCTGCTTACCATCTAGAAAGCAGATTTCGACAAACCAAAATGAGTTTTCACATACAAACATCAATATCAACAAACAACTATTACAGCTCAAATAAAAATCATTTATGATCACTCAATGTATTTCCCCCTGCCCCTTTTTTTTTTGGCCAGCAAATAGTAGAAGCAAAAGTCTCCCAAAAACCAATAATACTTTCTAACCAAGTCTCATTTCTAGAGTGAACCTCATGGTCCTTCCCCTCCATGCCCTAGTAAGGGCAATGCCAATAAATTTGAGGTAACTAAACAGTTCATGGACCCTTTTGTGCACTTATTATTTCTATCCAAATCTTCTTTGGTCTCTTTCTGCATTCTAGAACAAGCCTGTTTACTTTATGAACATGTTAAATTTTATTCTTTGGGCATATCTATTGGATCAAAATCAACATCCCTAAGTGAAAAGAAAGAATGCATTCCTCTGCAATCAAACCTTGACAAACTATTCGGCTAACTTGGTGCATTGATCCATGGTATCTGACCCCAGTCAAGTTCAATGTATGTGGTGGGACCTTCTGTTTACGTAGATATATCTCTTCTAGTTGATACAAATTTACTTTTAAATTGACCTTTGACCCAGAAACCAATAATTAAAGCACAAACATGGTTCACCAAGTTGGTTGATGCAGATCTACATCTGCTTGCTTCACTACCAAAATGACATAATACAATGAATCGTTAATTTTAAAGTTAAGGAACAAGTCACTATCTCAAGTTTGGCAAAGAAAATAAAAACTTCTAATCCCTTCTCCTCATTGTCAATTATGCTACATAAGTTGCCAATCACTGCTTGTCAGTATTCACTTGCCGACAAGAAAAAAGAGAGTGGGTTTTCAGGGAAACAAGACAAAGGTGGGAAGTATATGCAAAACAGCAAAAGTATATGCCAACCTATCCTCAGGAATTATAATCTTAAAGGGACTCGTCCCATCCTCAGTTCATCAGATCTAAACTGTCACTTAAACTATGAGGGTCCAACCATCAACATGGTGTTTAAGAATGGCATCGACAAAATATATCTCTTTCTATATATTGATAAAATGGCAACACACAGAAGGTTGTTTGAGATGATATATACAATCTTCCACATTTCTGCTCCTAAAGAAGGCATCATACATTTTACACTTACAAAATTTTCAAATTGCATATATGCTCCCCAGGAAATGCCTTCATAAAATTCTAAAAACAGCATTCCAGCATATTTAATTTCAAAATATTCCATTTACTTTTTTTTAAGCTTATATTTAACAATCCTAATCCAACAATCTGGCATGGACAATCCTGCTAATTTCAATCCTAAATCCCAAAGCTGACATCCATTTTATAATTTATATTGATCTTACAGACCTTGCACAAATTATTAGAAAATAATAATAATAATAATAATAATAATAATAATAATAATAATAATAATAATAATAATAATAATAATAATAATAATAATAATAATAATAATAATAATAATAATAATAATAATAATAATAATAATAATAATAATAATAATAATAATAATAATAATAATAATAATAATAATAATAATAATAATAATAATAATAATAATAATAAT